GCGAGTGCTCTAACCCTGAGCTACAGGACTCCACTTATGCAAAGTATGAGTTATGTCAGAATTGCATAAAATATAAACTCTTGAATGGAATTTGGGCAGATGTTTGACTCAGATGATTATGCGATGACATCCATCAACACAGTCCTATTTTCTCCAATTTCTATATTCACTGTAGATTTGCAGGTCTCCGAAATACTATTTAATGTGTGAAGAGCGTTATGTAAGTGCAAGTTGTTGCTGTAAGTGAAGGTGCCTCAGTATTTGTGATCTGATCTTTGTATGTGTGTGTGTGTGTGTGTAAGTGTGTGTGTGAGTTCTTTCTGGTGTTGACCCAAGTGGCATTGACCTGTAAGGCTTGGCAGGACGTGGAGGTCTTCACCTCAAGTCCATTCAATGTGATAAATATTATACGGTCACACATAAGGAATCTGTCACTTTATTTTACTAAATGATCAAATTGTGAGAAAGAAATAGAGGATGAGATCTGCTGGGAATTTCAACAGGTTTGCAATAAAAACAGGATTATAAAACAGGATTATAACAACGGTAAGATCTAAACTATTTCAAGGTTTGAATATCCTGCTTCTTTTTCTCTAACTTCTAAAATTTACCATTCAAACTTCTTAGCGTAATTACTGGATGCTTATTTACAGGGGTGTTATTCTCCAACAGAAGCAAAAGATTGTAGTTTCAAAAGAAAACCTCCTTTGTCGCACATTTCTTGTAAACCATATTGTAAATACACAGTGCTGACTATCACAGTGCTAAGTGGAGAAGATACTGAGGATGCTTCTTAGAAAACAACATTCTGAGTTTGCCTTGTGCTTGGATATGGAACAGAATTGCTGGTACAATCCTCCGAGGGTTAAAATCATATCACTCTCTAGCTCCATTTTGGTAAGAAGTGCCTAGAAATCAAAAATATCCATGAATCGTGGTGAAAGGATTGCTGAGTCACTGCATCACACAGCCATTTTACAACATGCTGTGATTTCTGTGAGATTGCTCTGTTTTCTGAAAAAACTAAATAATGAATAGACACAAGCAGGAACTTCACTCCTTACATACACCTATTAGGCTCATTCTGTCCATCGTTTACTTTTAAATGTGATTATTCAAGTGAGTATAATATCTTGCTTATGTTACTAAAAATAACAATTCAGAGTAACAAAGAAAATCAGGGTGAAAAGTGCAATGTTTCTAAATAGATTTGACGTGTTATCAAATCTGTTAATAAAAAAAGCACATTTTTAAACCCATTATATATATATCAAGAATACCAGGAATTGAGAGGGATTTCTAGTTTAAGAAATAATTTAATGCATACAGCAACAACAACAAAAAATTACATTTACATAGCACCGTTCACGTCAGGAATATAGTATTGTGATAAAGTATATTGGCTTCAGATGCTGGACAAGAAAGAAAATGAATATTTTCAGACAATTGTTGCAGTTTCATTTTGCTTTTCTCAATCAGGGAATCTAAAAGGAAGTGGAGAGAGAGAAAGCTGATTGCCTCCAGTTGCATATCAAATCTGATTGAAGCGCTCCGAAACGCTATCCTGCATGGAGAGAGCTATATAAGTACAAGTTGTTGTTGTTGATGATTAAGTCACCCCACACAAAACATCATGCGAAATCTGACTGGTTTATTTTTGGAGCTGAAGCCAATATACTTTATCACAATACTAGTTACCCAATAGTCAAACAGAAATCACATTCACAAATGCATATACTGTTGGCAATTTGCATTCAGATAGAATAACAATGGTAATTTCTAAAGACAATGTAAAAAACGATGAAATCCAAAGATCTCCCACAATAACACTGAATGGTGGCAACTCAGCACGTAATAAAACTAATAATAAACAGAGCAGAGCGGCAGCTATATTAAAAAAATCCTGGTTGTATGTCCTATCTGCTTATGTGCTGAATAATGATGCTGTTAGGCAGATCAATTTAGACATGGCTTTAAAATGGTATTCACTGCTAAAAACTGCAACAAACAGGTTAGTATTGTGTAATAGAGTTATAGGACCCAGCACATGGCATGATGTGGCTGGTTCTTTATCTCAGGCCCTGCAGTTAGTACCAAAAGCAAGCTGAGCATTTCTCAACAAACAGAGAGAGAGAGAGAGAGACAGAAACCCAGATTTTCCACAGTGATATACCAGGTTTATATTAATCAATAAATAAAACACAAAATATTGCAAATGCTGGAAATCTGAAACAAAAACAGAGAGAGCTGGGAAAACTCAGCAGCTCAGGCAGCATCGAAGGGTCGTGGACCCGAAACGTTGACTCACTTTCCTTTCTCCATAGATGCTGCCTGACTTGCTGAGTTTTCCCAGCTCTCTCTGTTTTTGTTTTATATTAATCAATGTAGACTGTACATTCAGTGTGATAAATATTGAATATATCGCTAAGTTGCCTCAAATAGGGATCCATTACTGAACAGTATTCATTATAGCTACTGATGATAATTGCAAACAGTGAGCTGTCATTTTTTTCTTAAATTGTTGAATTGGTGATTAACAGAAACTTTAATAGTTGCACTTTATATGCCATATACTAGCCACCAGTAATGGAGCTTGTGTTCTCAGCCCTTTTTTTTTATTCGAGGTAAACAGCTGCTCGTGCCCTTGTGACCAGGGTTTGATTTCCTGCACTAGTACAGAAGGATGGATGTGGCCAGAAGTACATTGTCATTTTCGCAAGGTTGAGGTCAGCCGTTACGTGCAGCGATGTGCGATTCAGTGAAGATTTATCACAACTTTATGCTTGCACAGCATTTATGAGTGTGCACAACTGTTATATTGAAACTGAAATCAAGAGTATTGATAACTATGGACTGCTTCTGTCCCTTTTTGTGCACATAATAATTAATACATCCCAAGCCACATTTTTTCACCCTCAAAAAAGTCTGTGAACAGGGGAAATAATTATCTTCGCATTTTTTAGAGTGTGAAAAAGCGCTTCACACGGTTTCTGTGATATGTAGCAACTTAGCAAATTTGTACATAGCAATGTGAACAGTTGTGAAGTTAAAAACCAATTTGCTCTGGGGGATTGTTGGCCAGGACTCCAGGAAAAATTTCCTCTCTTTCAAATAATGCCCATGGGATTTTTAATGTTCAGCTGAACAGGCTAGGGTTTGACATCTCATTCCAAAGGGTGGCACCTCTTACAATGGAGCACACCCCATCACTGCACCGCACTGTGAGTTTAGACTCTGTGAGTTCAAAGTCCCGATAGGCATGAAACCATTGAAACCATAGCATTCTGACTCAGTGGGCAGAAAGCTATCAACTGAGCCAGGCTACCTACAAGGCATAATCGTCTCAACCTCAAAAGTGGAACGTCAACAGACAGTTCGGGTTACACAGTGGTGAATGTGGAAAGTGTGGGCAGTTCCACAAACAAATTAGATAAATTAATGATATAGAAGGGGTTTGAGTTTATAATGGAGTTTGGGATTGGATGTAGAAGAGGTAGGATGTGAGATATTGGCAGATGATCTGTTTTGGTCTTCACTGCTTTTGTTTCCTATCTTTACAGTATGACCGTTCATTTTTTTTCCGAGTCGGGTGTCTGGCAGTTGTGGAAACACATCACTATGCTTAAAAGTATTCTAAACAAGGCTGAGGATTGTACACATTTATACTACCTATTAGGACCACCTTGCCTGTTAGGGCTTTGCTTGCAGGGTTAACAGGAGCTGAGCAGGAAGAACTCTTGCTCCTAGTGATGGATCTGTGATGGGATGAATGGCATTTCATACTACAAAAAAATGTATCTGTCCCTCCAAGTTTTGCTGATCAGCCGGACTGGGTGGTCTGTCATCAGCAGAACCCTTGAATACTGTGGATCTACCTGGGTTAGGACTATGGAGACCACCACAGAGGATTGACTAGCATTCTAGCATTATGTTGCCATTCACGTCAAACTGGAGCCTGCTCAATTTCAAGTAGACCTTACTTAACTCTCCCACCCACCCAAGGACCAGACCCTGGGAAACCTTCATAGGTAAGATCTTTCTTTTAAAGAAATATAATAGTTTGGTCACTCAATCCACAACTGCTTGTGAGACATTGCTACGCACAATTGGCTGCCGCATTTCACTCAAAAAACATACACTTCACAATATACAGTATTCCATGAAGTGCCTTAATAATAATCGTTGCATTTGATGTAGCGCTTTTCACGTCGGGAAGACGTCCCAAAGTGCTTCACAGAATATACTGTAAAGTGAATTGACTGTATATTTGTGGGCGAACCCGGCAGCCAATTGCGCACAGCAATGTCCCACAAACAGTCGTAGATTGAAAATGACCAATTTATTATTGTTTTTGGTTTTGGAGGGATTATTTGAGACGTCTCAAAGACATGATAAGGTGCTATAGCAAATGCAAAGATTACATTATTATTAGGTATTGTATTGATTTACCCATGTAAGACGTTCGGGAGCAGGTCTGAGTTTTGCTGACTATGACAGTAAAACAGGGGGAGTTCTAAGTTTCGCCCTCAATTCACTTCTCTTGATTTCAACACATCAACCGCAGATTAAACATTTCAGATTCTTATTATTGCTGCAAGTTCAGCAATTAGAAGATTGAGGGCAACCGATGTATTTCAGTAAAACTTTTGAAACCCTAAAAAAAAAGAGTCCCTGAACTGACTCAGATTAACTCCCCAACCCCCACCATCGTTTGCAGTGAAATGATTTGCCAGCAAGTTCCCACATGGATCAGGAGACTGGACTGTGCTAATGCCATGTTACAGTGGGCTCCAGCCTTTCAGTAAAATAAGGCGCTTACCTGGACACATCTGGGGTTGGTTGCCATTCGTCAGAGCAATCCGAACCAACAAAAATTACGTGGAGGTATTGCAGTTCATTGCAATGTTTGGCAGTTTATTGTGATCCCCCCCCACCCACCCCCTATCCTGCAGTGGAAGCACTCCTGTCTGTATTAAAGCCCCGCCTGCTGTCTGCTCCTCACTGATTCCCTGTATCTCTGTGTGTGGTGGAGCAGCTCTGAACTCGGTGCAAGCAATGGAGTGGAAGGCAATGGAAATCAACCCCGAGGTAATGTGGCTGCTCTGCTCGTGCACTGCACGGCTCAGCGCTGTGTGTGATGTTTGCTGCCTTTTGCACCAGTGTTCACACGTCCTGATCCTCTTTGCTTTTCTTCTGTTTCAGATGCTGAACAAAGTAAGTGCGCAACGCCTGTCACCCCCGTCCACCCTCGGTGTCCGCGAGCCTTTCTGCCTTCGTTGCATCGTTCATTTTTACACAAAAAAAATGTAGGGTTTTAACCCCCAAATCTGTTGCTGCAGTTTGGGATGTGTTTTAAGCCTTTAAGCCCTGTTATTAGGGTGTGGTCATTACTGGAGTTCTCTGTGTCGAATTATGAATGGATCAATAAATGCATTACATTGCTGTGTGGAATTAATGGGGGGAAATGCAGTATATATTTTTTTGTGTAAATCCAATGTGTTGCATATAACTGAATGTGCCTTTACTGCACCAGTGCATGACTCGACTGGGCGTGGCAGCGAGCTGGAAGTTCGTGGATGTTTTGGGGCTGGAGACTGAATCCCTCTCCATGGTGCCTTCCCCAGTCTGCGCTTTGTTGCTGCTGTTTCCTCTCAGTCAACAGGTAGGGCGCTGTCCAACGTGTTTCCATACAAGAAAAAAAAAAGCTCTCTCATCACTCATGTTAATGCAATAATAATGACACTTCTTTTGTTCCCACTTGGTACTGAGGGTTAAGGGACCTCAATGGATAACTTTCCCCATCCAGTTGTTTCTTCAGTCTTTGCGTATTCAACTGTAAGCAATTCTAGGTGGTTTTTTTTTTCAAATGAAGCTGTAAACTGACTTCAATTGAAACTGGCTTTGCCACGGTTATTTCGTATTACTGTATTATGAGCCATCTTATTATTAATTATTATTATTGCAATGCTGCAAGAGGTGACAAATGGCCCACAGTGTCTCCTGCTATTGTTGGGCTTTCCTTTTCACGGTCTGATTTTATTCTTATTTTGGGGAGGGTTGTAAATCTGGGATTGTTAACCAGAGGTAACAGAAGTAGGAGATGAGTGTCAGCTGGAAGCTGGAATACTGTATTTGCCTAACTATATTGGCAGAATCCCATCTCACTAAAGGGTCCTAGCGGTGAGATTGAATTTCTAGTTGACTATTAACACGGATGACAGTGCATGTTTCCTCTCAATTGCATGACTTTGAACTCATCTAACAATTCTTCAGAAGGGTCTAGCAATTCAAGATGGATCTACTGCATTCTAATTTCCCGTCTTGAATAAAGGCTAGTATCAAAACTTAATTTGTGGCTCTATCTTTCAATTTGCAACTATTTTACACTAATGCCTTTACATGGGACATTGTCCCATGGATTTATCATCAATTGCACTTTGGTGCTTCGCATAATTTGGCAAATGTGGCTGCTATTCTGTGCAGCAATATTATGCACCAATTATCTCTATTGGTGAATTTGGATGAGGAGTGAGTATTGTCTACAANTTTTTTTAGCTGATCACTAGAGCAGGCAGATGGAAACTTTTTAATATCATCTGGAGCTGGTACCTCCAGCAATATAGCGCTGCATTGGCTTAAATTTAAAACTCAAGTCTTGGTGTTTGTAAACTTCTGACCTTGACGTGAGAAGGATCCATTAGAGCTATAGATGAACTGGGGACATTCCCTTGATCGTGAACCACGCCTGACATGTAAAATGTGTTGTTGTTACTACAGGAATATGTGCTGAACCAATAAAAATGAGATGCCTAAAATCAGCCATCTCTCCGATTATGTTGTGGAGATGCTGTAACTGGCAATAAATTTAAAGAATCTAAAGTTTATTTGGTTCATAAACATGATGTGCTCAGATGCATTTTAGTGTCTCCACTGCATTGCAGATCCTCAGGATCTTTGCTCTGGACTGCATTCATATTGAGTCTGTCTTAAATGTGTATTCAAATGATACCTCTGGCTGACCTAACTATACTTAGCTATTGATTATGTAATTCAGTATTGTATTTCAGTAGAGCTGCCTCTACATCTTTTTGTATGTATCTTTTAAGAAGACTGGTTATTACAGTGAAACCATGTTATGGTTTATCACCTGAATGATTGGGGTGTGGCCACTGACATTTAATTACAAAAAAACACACATGCTTCTCACATGCTAAGTGACTTCTGGGTTCCCACTGATATCAGTAGTTCCATGAAGCAACTGACCATTTTACCCGCTTCATAATGCTGATTGATATTTTATGTCCCCACAACTATTATAACTGTTTCATTGTACCGTATATATTCTAATTCACAGCCTCTTGTACACTATTTAAGAAAGCCTTCTCTTAAGTGCTAGGAGACTAGAAGCTTCCCAATGAGCTTTCCTATTAAATAGGATAGATTCTTTGGCTTGCCTTAATCTTAGCTTGTGCAGGCTGTTTATTCCAGATACCAAAGCATGGGAATAACATAGAAAGTAATCTGAAAGCAGCTGATCAGAAGGAAATCGTTTTTGGGGGAAACTAGCAAGCTAGTTATAAAATTCCCTTGTTTAGGGAATTTTTTTACGTATCTTGATTTGGTAAATGGGAGAATAATGTTGATCTGTATCTTTGAAAAATCATCCTTCTCAACAGCATGAGTCTTTCAGAGGAACCCAAACCTCAGAACTGACTGGGAAAGGTATTGACTCTAAAATCTACTTCTTGAGGCAAACCATCTCGAACTCCTGTGGCACTGTGGGACTCGTCCATACTATTGCCAATAATCAGGATAAATTTACATTTGGTAAGTACTGATCAAGGCTAATAGCAACCTGTTAACACTTAATAGCTTTTGTATGTGTAATTCTAATTATTTTTGCTGGTAGCTTTGACTAGTTTATTAACCTCTGCCTAGGAACAAGTGCCACTACCTGCTGTTTAGTAGCAATGCTATGCAAGTTCAAATTAATATGTGACGGGAGGTGTTGACAATTAACGGTAATTTATTTAACTATTGGTTAGAATGATGAGTGATAGTTATTTTCAAATGAGAAAATGGCTTGCTAACTATATAGAGGGACTCATTTCTCCATCTCTGGTTCTGCTTCAGTGAAGATTTCCCTCATGCTGACTCATGCTGCAGTTTGACTCCATGGACGCAGTCTGCTGTTTTGACATGAATGTTAGCAAGGCCTTGCCTTTGTAGATATTTTCCAGCAGGGGTATTGGCAATTGAAAATCTTTCTGTTGTACAAAATAAAATCTGGTAACTTAAATATATATATTTTTTTGTCCCCTCCTGTGCCTTGGGACGTCCTCCTGACATGAAAAGCTCCATACAAATGTAATTTATTGTTGTTGCTGCCAGGCTATTGAGGGAGCTGAAAGGTAAAATTAGCTTTCAGCAGCAGCTAAATAAATAATTGTACCACTCTGCTATTCTCTTAAGTTTGTTGCAATTATGATGGAATATTTCCAGTCACTTGGTTCCTTGTGGATATGCTGAGAGATAAATTAGAATGTTTTCCCCCTGTTAGACAGATGAAGGATGATGTAGCTGAATGGGGTAGAGTTAACCCACAAGATAATTCTTGGATACATCTATAGAATGGGCTATTTGGTTAAGTCGGGGCTCAGATTTTGAAAGGCAGTTTTAGGGACCAACACTGGAATTTTTGTCTAAATATAGGGTTAACAGTTGGAGCTGAATAATCCTTACATCTGCACCAGGATGCTAGTAAGAGTGGCCGGTCAGGATTTCAAACTTGAATAAAAACCAAGCTGTAATGGGAAGATGGAAGGGTGGGAATTCTGAATGGATTAGATTGACTGACGGTCTGAAAGGCCTTCATGCCTCAAACTAACTTTGAGACTGTTCTGTAGTGGAAGGCTCAACCCTGAAGAAGTTCCTGACTGAAACTGCAGATCTGTCAGCAGAGGAACGTGCCAAACATCTGGAACAAAATAAGGTGAGAAGCTCTTGATTACTGATCAAGGTATTGATGTGTTATTTAAAGAAATAAAAAAAAATCACTCAGGAGTTCTTTTTTTAATAGGATATTCATTCAGCGCATGATGCCACTGCAGAGGAGGGCCACTGTCGGGTAAGCTTGTTTTACAGTAGCTATGGTTGCTGAAGTCCCTTGCCTAAATTATGCTTCTTTTAGTAATTACAGAAATTGTCAACAACAACTTAATTTCATCCCACTCCTGGTAAACTGTGAAAAACTCTTGGAAAAATGCAATAATCACTTAAATGACTAAGTCAGATGCACTGACTCCATCTAGCTAACCACATATACACTATTAAGTAAAGGCTTGGGATCACCATTTTCCTTGTATCATATTCACTTGTAACTTGTATTTTTTTGAGCACTAGTAGTGTTATTTTTAATTCAACAATCTGACTGGGTGAGTAATGGGTCTTTGGCAAAGCTTTTAATCACAGAAGAACATCCTGTCTATTCTAACTTTCTTCACAGATACATGAAGATGGTACAAACTTCCATTTCATCGCTTTTGTTGATGTGGACGGACACTTGTATGAACTGGGTGAGCATCTTTGTCTGAATTTCACTTTTGGAGGAAGTGTCTGGAAACCTTGTGGGTTGATTTCTGATTTCAGTATTGCAGAGAGCAGCTGTATCTAACGCTCCAAAACTAAAAGGGAATCTTAAATTGGCGTCCTAGATATGTAATGCATATTAAATGTATTCAGTTTGCTATTGTGAACCACAGAGGAAAGTTGATTCTTTACAATACACTTTCTTATAGATGGAAGAATGCCATTCCCCATTGACCATGGTGAAACATCAAAGGACACACTGTTGCAGGTTTGTTTTGAAGCTATAAATTCAATTTCCTATTTGTGTTAAAATAGGAAGGGAAAAGAGAAACATTCAGTTGGGCAGTATTTAACTTAAGTATTTAACAGTGCTAACTTGCAGTTGATGCCTGAAGAATGACTTGTGTGACTTTCTATGAACAAATGTGATCCTTTAACCATTCATTTACTGGGCCAGCTCTATAGCAGTTACATTTCATGAAGTACTAAGTCATTAAAATATTCATGTACTTCCTTTTCCATTGTCAATGCAAAAAATCATTTGCAGCATTTCTTGAAATTTGTACCAGGTGAAAGACATTCTTTGAAAATGTGTCACTAGGTATTGAGGGCTGGATATTCAATTCATTCATGCAAAGGGTAATTAGGGAAGCCTGGTCACAAGGAAGAGATACAAGTATTCCATTTCCCCCAAAGTCCTACTTTGCTCTAGTCATACCATGTACAGTTGCTTTCTGCAACAACAAGATGCTTAGGCCTTAGAAGTGTAGAGAAGAATGAGGGTGATTGTTCTCTCTTTTTCCCCACCCCATATTGGAAACCATCTATGTAAGCAAGTAGACCGTCTAATGCTTTTTAACTTTAAAGTGACAATTCAGATCTTGTAAACTCATGAGGATTAAATTAAGTTGAGAAAGTGAACTTGAAACAATACTTTTGGATGCACCAAGACAGACGGTTTAGGGTTACAAAGGATAAGTATTTCCTCAGGATAATTAACAACTAGATCAAGTTATCAGGAAGAGTGATTGAGGTCATCATGCTGCAATAAAATGCTGGTAGCTATTCTGAAAGGGGGAGATCAAATGGGCTGAAGGACCTTCATCCAAATCTCTTATGAGTATTCTCATTTTAAAATGAATGCTGACGATTAGTGCAAGTTTTCTGTGAGTGCTGGAAGGCTTTTGACAGCAAAGTCAAATCCTGTGTGTAGTTTGGCAGATCACGGTTGGCCTTATGCAAGAACATTCTCTTCCAGTTTGGAACACTGGTTCACTTTTTAAAACCACACCTAGTACCCCAGTTTTTTTTCTTCTTGTAGTTTACTACTATTGAGGCTGTTGGGAGCAATCTCTAATCTAATAGAAAAATGCTGAAAATTGGCTTGACTTCTAGCATTGTCAAACTTTGTGCCCTATTCCTGCTGAATGCCCTTGGTGTATAACTATTGGATTGTTGCCCTCTCTACAGGATTCTGCCAAGATCTGCCGACAGTTTATGGAACGTGATCAAGAAGAAGTCCGTTTTACTGCTGTGGCACTCAGCAAAGCCTAAAAGCAACATGGAACTGTATCAAAGCTGCATGAGTCAGAGCACAGTACCACAACTCTCAGCTTAGGTGGTGTTCTAAAGCTTTCCCAATGATTTGCTGAAATAGTTTTTCATTTTTGTATGATGCACTTTGATGTGGGACATACACTGCCTTTACACTAGTATTTCTGCACATAAGACTCAAATATCTAGGTAGCAACATTTGTGTGCAGGATTGGGTGTGCTGTAGAGTTAGTAATGTAAAGGTTCTTGAGAAATGTGTTCCATGAATATCCACTGTAGTGCAACTGTCTGCATCCTAGTAACACCACAGCTAGGCCAAAGGTGACTTTTTTTCCTTTTTGCTCGAACAAGGGGAACAAAACTGAAGAAGTGTACTAGAAAATATGATAGATTTGCAGGGCTTTGTTGGAAGCTTCTATTTGCGATCGACTCCACATTGTGCCTATCTTTTTACAGCTTTTCTGTAATGAGTAGTTGCTGTAATGTTTAAAAAATAAAACTTGGTTGAAACAACTTCAAAAATGTTTTGGTTCATTGCCTCATACATGCTGCATGAAGTGAACTACCAAATTATCTAAAACTTCATGCAGTAAAACATTCTGCATAGGCCTAAAAAATTCATGTAGGTGAGTTGGTCTAGTTTATTATTATTATGCAAGTAATTCCAAAGAACCTGTCTTTCAGGCAAGATGTCTTACCATGTTTATTCTTTGAAGGCTAACCATACACTGAATGCAATTTCCTTAACCTTTGAGACAATGATGGCATGATACAAATTACACTTGTACAGTATTTTTCATTGTTGGTAGGACATCTCCAAGTGCCTGACAATGCTGGGGGAAAGATGACAATGTACAGTAAGAGACTGAGGTGAGCTTAGGGAGTGGAAAGTGAGAGGTCAAGTCTGAAGGACTCCAGAACTGAGTTTTGCTCAGATAGTTTTCTCTGAAAAACTGCCACATCATTTTCAGACTTCTACAGGCTTATACTATTGCATCCTCTCTCAATTCATACGCTGTCTGTGTCCTCCATAGCTTCTACTTAATTCTTGGCTTTGTCTAGCTAAGGATGTCACATCCTTATACCTCCTGGTACTCTGCTTGCCACAGTAATAAATACTTAATGCTTCAGTAGTGCCAGTATCAAAATTAGCACAGGCAAAGATCCTCATATTCTCCAAAGGATAACTTGTATTCATTTATTCATAGGCTTTAAAGTATCTTAATCTGTTTACAAACCGAAATATCCAAGCTTGCTCTCTAGTGTATTGTAGCTACATAAAAATTGTGCACGTGACTTCTATATCATTAAAGATTATATCCCTGGTGTGCCTATACCTGCAAGAGATGAGTTAAGATAGTGTCTCTCCAGGCCCCAAGGTTTCAGATATCAGAATTTGCTGTCTAATTTCCAATGAAGGTTTTTAATTTGTTGAGATGGCAGTAAGCCCTAAACTATGCCATCAATAAAATCAATGGGAAGCACAGTAAAATATGAATGGATGTTGCCAATTTACCAAAAACAAGACAACCCAAAGTGTCTAATGTCCACATCAACTCAAAATTTCAATTCTGTTCCAACTCCCATCCCTTTGTCTGGGACACAGAAATTGTCAGCCTCAATTAATGTTGTCTTTCTATCTAGTGGATAGACTGGATTAGCTTCCCTGCTGCAATGATGAGGCAGGTCATTACTGAATGCTACACAGAGGCTGGAATAATTCCCCATAGACAAATGCATTCATATGACTCCCAAATTTGGCTCCATTTCTGCTGTGATAACTAACCACTATTATACTGTTTATCTATCCACTCTGAAAGCCAACCATGACAACAAACCATTAACTATTGCTAAAGTTCCAACAGTACACATCTGCTTACTTTGTGTTTGCTTCATTGTACAGGGGAATCCACAAAGTCCTGTTACCCCACAGTATGTATTTTTTCTACAATGCACTGACCAACAACTGAAACGTGTGGAAGAATGATAATATTTATATTTAGAAGTATTTGATTGTATTTAATACAAGTGTTTAACTATATTTAGACATCCAGGGGATCAGTGTGAGTACCATAATTTTCATGGAAGATAATGATCCATTTCCATGATTAGTCCGACATCTTCCATAACATGATGGAGCGATGAGCCGAAATGCATCTCTGACAGTTTGTTTCAGTTCCTCCGTAGTCTCGTATCGCTATTTTGTAATGGATGAAGAGGACTTTCTGGACACACTATACAAAGAGTGTATGTAAGCAATGAAGATATTAAATGAAGTCTCTGCCAGTGCTGTCTTATATTCTGCTGCTAGGATTTGTTTGAGGATATTGAAAGTAAGCCCACCCCCCAACACACACACACATTCTCTCTGGTCTTTGTGGGTGCTTCTTTAAGATATAATGGCTGAGATCAGACCAACACCACAGACTAAAAGTTGCACCTTAAAAATGATGGTAAATTTGTTCTGATCAATTGTAACAGATTGAAGGGAGCATCATTTGACACCTGACTCGTAATATACCATACCAGGATATGCCATGCTGATGTGGCACTTTACAAGAGTCTTAAGAGAAGTTTGGATGAAAACCATTCAGTCCATTTTTGTACTCATTCTTCCAGAATATCCATCCAACCAGTTTACCATTACAGCATCAAACTACATCTTAAAAGTAAGACCAGGCTCCTGTATCTCAATCTTCTTTCCTGGAAACATGTTAAAGATTTTAATTTAGTTCTGCATAAAGAAATAGATGCTCTCTATCTTAAAATTGCCCTTTACAACCTTGAATCTTTGCCCTCTTATCCTGTTGCCTTGAAATATCTCATTTAACAGTTTCTATTCTCTATAAGGTCTCTTTTGCACCATCTTTTTCACAAATGAGTTGACTGGAACTATTAAGAAATTTGTTTTAATTTACCCTTTTACCAGCAGTAGTATAGTAACAGCAACATTGACCATATAAAATATTAAAGTAGTATTAAGAAAATTGTAACTAATGGATAATAATAATCCCAAGTTGTTATGGCAATACTTACATAATAATCGGGTACCTGCCTGGATCTGCTGGTACCACTTTTACCTCTGAGTTGAAGGTCATGGGATCAAGCCCCACATCGAGAGTGGGCTCATAGTCTAGATTGAAACTTCAATACCATGCAATGTCAGAGGTGTCGTCCTTCGGATAAGACATTAAACTAAGGTCCCATCTGCCTGTTCAGGTGGATATTAAAAATCCCATGATACTCTTCGAAACAGAAGGGAATTTTTGCTGGTGTCCTGGCCAAGAATCCTGCAGAAAAAAATGGTCATTTCAAGGCTGTTTGTGTGACATTGCCGTGTGCAAGTTGGTTGCTGTAAACTGTTGAATTAGACTTTACCAAAAATTCTGTAGTGCTTTGAGATGTGGTCTTGATGTGCAAAGGTGCTATATCAAATGTAAGGAATGCTATTCAGCAATAACCTTTGACAGTTGCATTCTGAACTGGCCAGCAGATGGAGCAGAGGGATCATAAATATCAGTGCATTCTGGGACTTGTATTCTTGCAATCAAGTTTATGTTTTTCTGTATTAATCTAAAGGTATCATGACACCTCTTGTACTCATGTCTTTGCATATGGTCTACACAACTTGCCAATTGGATGGCCAAAGATATAGTTGCAAAGAGACAATTAAGCGATAACAAACAGCATTCCTTTGTGAAGAGCATTTGAATAAATCACAAATAAAACTGTCTTGATATCAGGGATGAGATACATTTTTGGTCAACTAGATGTTGCAGTATGTTAGCATGATGACCTTGCATTCTGTTCAGCTCTACTGCAGACTGATAGGATAAATGGATAAAAACAAGGGTCCTGTGTGAAATAAGCTTGAATTATCTTAATCTTCCCTTGGAGGAATACCGACAAGTACTTTTCATCTTTAAAAAATGAATGTAAAAGCAAATATTTTGATGGATGATGTAAAATTACCCATTGCAATGTAATATAAGAATGTGGAACACTGAGGGAAGCAAAGATGTTTCCTCTTGGAGGCTCATCTTACTGGAATTCCTTCAAAATGGCCTGTGGTGAGAGGATCTTAACATTGTGCTACCTTAACATTGCATGACTAGAATGTAGGCGCTAGACTGGTTGAGAACAGATATGTTGTTGTGTAGAATTACCTTAAAGGGATGGCCGAGCACATTTGATAACCAGACACAGCCCTATCGTCTGATAGAAGCTGTAAGTACCTGGGGTGAGAGACAGATCCTTCAAAACAGTTAAACATTTTAAATGCTAGGTAAAGACTACCTCATGGTATGACAGGATACCTGTTTGGATCAGGACAGACACCAGGAAGATTTTATTTACCCAGAGGGAACTATGCCAAATACAAGGATTATTACTATTATTATAAACATGACACATCTAACGGCATCTATACAAATTCTCCTGCCAGAGGAACTTCCACACGTGTTCAAAATAGTAAATATCTACATGTCCAACAGCAGTGTTTTGCTGGATTCAGGACAGTATTTATCATTCTTTACTTTACATGACAGATGATCTGGTGCGGTGTTTCATTCACATAGGAAGAGACCGTGTGTTTTGTGTATCATTCATTTACCTGCAGGGGGTAGTGTTTCCTCAGACACTGAGAAGGGTTGTTTCCAGGGAAACAAGGAAGCCGTGAGATATCTGCATTCATCTGACTGACACCGGTTTAACGTTATGAACATTTACTGTAAAATGAAGCTAGTAATGTCCATTTGTGGCAGAATTAGGGTCATCATTTGTTTAGCGTTTTTGGTTTTGGGATGTGGAGCAGTTGAGCAACAAATCATTGAGTGTTTAAATAATATGTTATTTTTATTTACTAAATGTTAACTACAATCTGCATCTTTGGAAAATTCCCATATTATCACAGAGGAAAAAACAATGGACACACAATCACCAAGTTTATCTGCAAACCCCCTTTAATATTACAATGTAATGCACATTGATACAAATCTCTCAGTGATATCAGGAGCCACCACTTTGGTTTTGCTTTAACTAATACCACTGTGAAAACATTATGTGAAAACAAACGCTGTGAAAATCATATTAAAGATTAATGTTGTGAAAAGGGATGTGCTGCATTATATAATCGCTATCAGTTTGATAAGGTTGCTGTAGACATACTAGCCACATTGACAAGCAGATGCATGTAGCTATGGATTTCAGCAATCCAGCAAGTCTTTAAATAATTGCAAGTGATATTGAACAGATTATCAAACAAAGCTTTGCACTTTATTATTGTATTGTACATATAAACTTTCCTTCAAATCTATTTAACTATCGCCGTGTCTTATGTGGCAACATTTGAAGAACGTGGAAATATCACACAAGTCCTTTCCGAGGGGCAATAAATAGACAGCTGGGGTTCTCAACTACAAGGTCCCACCTTAAAACTGACTTAAGCTTCTTACATTTGTATTATTTTTCTTGCAACCTCCCCCCCACCCCCCAACAGACACACAATCTTCTGGGGTAAACAACAACATCTCAAGAGTTTAACTCAGTTCATCTCATTCAGGAAGTAACCATTCTGTATTTTATGTGTTCATCAGCAAAAAATACCCTGACTCATTGCTGGCCAAAAATAATATTGCCAGAAGCAGAAAGATGCATATGGCATCTGATTGTAAAAATGTAGGGTGAGGCTGTGAACATTAGTTTTAATTTACAGAATCTTGTTAGGTCGGTTTGACCCGATTTGATGGCAGATCTGAACCGACGTGAAAGGTACTATACACACGCAATTTGTGCTATAGACTCGTCTAATTTTCGCCCATAAAACTCCACTTCACCGCATATTCTGTGAAGCGCTTTGAGACGCCTCGAAGACGCGACAAGGCGCTGTATCAAGCGCAAAGGTTATCATTATTATAAATACGCTACACAAAATGTGGTTGTGCAGTTATTGGGTTTGTTTTGCAATGGTTTTTAACCCCTCACTGGATGGCTTGATGGTGCTGAATCCAGAGCAACACACTGGCATCGGCGGCGCTGGCTGGAGGAGGAGGAGGAGGAGGTGGTGGTGGTGGTGGCTGGATCCGCAATTTGCATTGACTAATCCGCTCTACATTCGCGTGGTTTATTTTTAGCGCTGGTTCATTGCAGTGCAGGGAGGCAGGCGAGCTGAGCTGAGCCGCGCCTCCAGTCACATACATCCCCAGCGCTGCTCAGCCACTGCACTGAACCAAAGGTGCTGATAGTGGGGTGGGGTGGGGTGGGGGGGGGGGGGGTGACTTACACAACAATCCTAGCAACCGACCCTCACCCCCCTTTTTTGCAGACACAGTGAGTGGGTGGGTGGGGAGAGAGAGAGAGAGAGAGAGAGCAAACACTGCACCTTCCTTGGTCTCTGTCTCTGTCTGTCTCTCTGTAATTCGGTCAGTGGCTGAGCAGCGCAGGGGAGGAAATGGCCAGTCCCAGCGTTAAAGACATGTCGTGGGGACATCAACACCAAGACTCCAGCCCTGCTCCAGCATTCACAGAGGCTCACACATGGATAGAAGTAAGTTGATCATGTTTTTTTTTTCCCCTCTCTCCTCTCCTCCACCCTCCCTCCCTCCCTCCCTCCCTCCATCCCTCCCTCCATCCCTCTCTCCTCTCTCTCTCACACATAAGCGAAATAAAGTCCAGGAGTGTGTTGTTTGCTGTGAACTGTGTGTGTGTGTGTGTGTACAGAATGAGCTGTGCTGCACTGGCTGCTGGTGTCCTGGGGAAGGGATTCGGTAGTTTGTGGTGCAATTAGCATTTTTTTTGTGAAAAGAAAACTGACAATCTCGAATAATCAGCACATTCATTGTGTAACGGAAGCCTTTGCTAAAAGTTACCTGCACTGTGGATAGCAAACTGCTTAGTTACTGCAATTTATTGCAGCTATTTCTGAACATGTATATGGTGGGATTTAAATGATATTTCTGGGTGTTACGCACTGTTTCCACCAATCTGTCAGCAGAGGATAAACTAAATTGGGCTGTTTTCAGTTGCCAGGGAATAAACTAGTCACTTTTTTTTTGTTAAAGTCGACCAGGCCAATGTTACAGGCGCTGGAGTTTAAACACCCTCCATCCATGCAAGAATATTAGCACTTCCCTGATATGTAGTGAACTTGAAACGCCTCCTGAAATAACGTTGCTGCCAACTGAGGTGAGAAATACATTGCTAATGATGGCAAAGCCAGTGCTGCAGCCAGTCAGGACTGCTGAGGGAGCTGGAGGTACCTGCAGGATCAATGGATGTTTAGTGCACAGAGCACATTAGGAAATTAAGGACGAGTTAGCTTTATGATAATAATAATAATAATTCTTGCATTTCATATAGCGCCTTATCGCGTCGTTGAAAAGTCTCAAAGCGCTTCACAGAATATACTGTAAAGTGAATTGACTGTATATTTTGTGGGCGTAACGCGGCAGCCAATTGCACACAGCAGTGTCCCAGTCGTGGATTGAGTGACCAATTTTTGGAGGGTTTATTACCCCCGGAAAGAGATCCGCCAATTGACTAACAACCGAGCTTGTTTCAGCTTTGCTCTGCTGTGATGATTGATGGGCAAGCTCAATGAACCGTACAGCTTGTTGTCCAGGTTTCTATTGAAAAGCCTGGAGAACTTTCCATGACACGCCTAGTGCATGGTGTTGAAGCTCCATTGATAACTCATGCAGGGGAGCAGAGCTCTCCAGTCAATCAATGTTGCAGTGAGATTGGTCAAAACTGCGGCCTTCAGCTTCACTCTGGCAAAAACGTGGTTCTGTATGTATGGGGAGAAGCAGTGCAGTTATTTAAAGGTGATTTTTTTTCCAAAAATCATTGCAACAAATGCTGAAAATTTACAGCAAGTTATAATGAATTGGCCTGCCGGAAATTGTAAACAGGTGTACATCTTTATAGCAATCTTCTCTTCCCAACATAATTTAAAATTTTAATGCAAAAGTGTAAAAAAAAATGCAATACAGTACAGTTCCAGAGTTTGTGCTGCAGTTGCTAACGCATCCACTGCAGTATAAATTTAAAGGGGCACCCGTCTTCATGAAAAAGTTTTATTCAAGCCTTGATGCACATCACATTGAACTGCACCATTATGTGTATTCCTTGCACAAACCAGGGGTGTTATGACAAATATAACGCCTGTTCTTTTGGTTCTTCAATCAACAGCAGCAACAAGGAGCTTGCCACTTTTTAATACTTAAATAAAAGTGCCTCTTTTAATCAATCTGTAAAATATACCAGACTCTTGAGAATTTAAAATAAAAGCATTGTAACTGATGGCTGGAAATCTGAAATAAAATGCAGCAATGATGGAGATTCACAGTAGGTTCTAGTGAAAAGGTTTACCAGGAACTGTAGAGTTTTTCTTCAGCCTCTGAATGAAATGCTGTGAATTTCCAGAGTTTTTCTGAACTGAGTTTAGAGCAGAATAATAGCAGAAAGTTAACCATTCCATCAACTTCTCCTGTTATGCAAACACATTAACTTTTTAAAAATAAAATAAAACTTTTAAGTAAAATACCATGCAAGAAGACTTTTAGAAGATTTAGAGGGTCTGTAATTCCATTACCTTAGGCCATGTGTGAATGACTATTCACCTCCTTTTGGTGGGGGTGGGGTGGTGGCGGAGAAGGAGGGACTGAGCTGGTTCCAAGGTGACGTACAGGCAATGGAATATCGAAATTGAGTCAATCCGCTGGGGCTTTCTCGATAGGTTCTTGAGCCAAATCAATCCAAAGGACTTCAAGTCTCCACTGATGATAGATCAGCCAGACTTGCTCGTTGTCAAGGTTTGGAGGGGAATTCTTGGAGGGTCACTGAGAGAAGAACTGCTTTTCATTTGGCTCTAGTGAAACCTGCAGGCCAAAGCCCTAATGAGTAGGACAGGCAGTGCTTGCAATGACATGCTATTTGGTTTTAGCAGGTTCCAGCATTACGCCAATGCACACTCTGGGGTCACCAAAAGTAAGCTCATGCAGCCTAAACTTGAATTAGGTAAGCAGGGTGTGACCCTCTGGGGTGAGAGTGCACACTCTTTTACAGCCAAATGAGAAATTTCCATGTGTAGGTGTCATACATATGTGGAACTCTGTCTAATTTGGATACTCTTAACTGTGATGATGGGTTTCCACATGTGTCAGCCACTTAGCTGACCAAATAAAATGTAGAAACGCATGGTTACAGAATGAATTCTGTACATAATTAATTCTGTAACCAATAACCGATGAAAATGATTACAGCATATGAATTGCATTAGTTGTTGCTGATATAATTAAGGGACATCTGTTATTTCATCTGTGTACATACATTTACATATGGTTTACACACACATATGCAGTGATGCATATGTGTCTAAATGTGATTTACACCACTCGAAGCATAGAACTCAGTAGTTACCCAATTTCTAAACCTGACATCAAGCGTGAGTTAGAATAGGACATGACATAATGAATTTTGATTTCAAAAGTTGGATGAAATTATGAGGGTGGTGGGAAAAATAGGGAAGACAGATGAAGTTGAGGAGGGTGATTGTAAGGGCGAAACCGAGGGGGTAGATAAGTGAAAGGAGATTGCAGGGAATACAAAGTTTTGGCGGCTTCTGTTTTACAATTCCATTTCAATGCAACACAACCCAGAGAGGCCTGTAACTTGAAGCCTGTTGGCAACAATTTGCACAGATTTTCCCTATAATCCTTTGATTTCTTGCATAGAATTAAGAGAAGCGATAGAGGTCTAATTGTAACTCTAGAAGTACTTTATTTGCAGAAAAAAGGAAATCACATCATCTGTGAAAGACTGCATTAACACTCCGCTGATTGCTCAGCAAGTTTATTAAGTGAGTGGTTCAGCCACACTGTCAGGAAGATAGCTGATGGAACTATGGAGACAGTAAAGGCAGATTCAATAGACTTCAGCTATCTGCTGCTTATCCAGCTAGGACTGCCCTATGGGTTAGGGCTTTGGCTTGCAGGGTTAACAAGAGCTAAGTGGGAAGATTCCCTGCCTTAGTGAGTAAATTTCCCCCCCATTCAAGTTCTGCTGATGAGCCAGGTTGGCTGTGCTGTCATCAGCAGTGCTCTGGAGTACTTTGGACATGCCCGAATCCATCCTCTCTGCCCAGAGAGCATTGACTCAGTTCAAATATTCCATGGCCAAGCATATCATTTTAGAGCTAGCTTAATAGGAGCTCCAAGGAAACCCTGGAGTGTAGCGACTGTTTTTGCAGGCAAACGTGGCTGCCAAAAAGGTCACATAAGATGCTATAAATGATCTATTAATCTGGAGCATTGTTGGTCAGGACACTAGGGGACTTCAACATCAACCTATAATGTCTCATCTAGAAGATGATACCTGCAACTATGCAGCACTCTCCCACGCTGCACACTGTATCAGCGTAGAATATGAGCTCATGTCTTGATGTGGGGTTTGAACACAAGCCCACTAGAAGACATGGTCTACCAACTAAGCCAGGTTATGCTGAGTATGAAATAGAAACAAACAAACAAACATTAATATTTTACAATTACAAATACATTGTAACTGGGACTGAGTGACACAATGCTGCTTTATCATATCCCTGGGATCTGGCTTCACATACATTCTAGTTTGATGAGACTGCATTCTTCTCTCTCTACAAGCTTTAAGCATGAAATTCATTTGTCAATAAAAATATCTGACTGGTGTGATAGGCGGCTCTCTTCAGAGTTTGGTTTGTCACAGTGTTTGGACAATTGGGCAAATAAAGGGAATGTTGTGTTGCACCTGATCTGTATTGTATCGTTTCCTGAGGCTGCTTGATCCTGCCACTGACTGTCCCAAGCAGTGAACATCTGAACATAAGTCCATCTAAAATTGTTTTGAAAATAATACATTAGTAGCAAGTATTATCTTTAAAGATGAGTGATTGTTTCAGTCATAAACATCAAAACACATGAGTGATACCTAAATCACTTCTTAAAATTGAGAATTCAGGTGGAATTATTTGAGTATCAATACAGGCTCAGTGTGAGGTTGGTGACAGAGTTAATCGTTCTGTGTTTGTCATAATAGTTTGCGTCCAACTGTTAAAATGAAATAAAAGTTAGTTACTCAAGCTTTTTGCTGACCACTTTGTGTTGCTGAACATTTTATCAGCACATCTCAGACTCTTGGCTAATTCTGGAATTTCCTGACATCTGGTGTAAGAGAGAAGCCAAAAGATCTAATGACCTAATGTCTGCCAGAAACAAATCTAATGGCCAGTTCCGTGATTTGTTACAGTGGGACTTATTTATACATGGTCTACTTATTTATATTCAGATTTAGGTCTTGTCTTTCTCATACCAAATGCTTGAAAACTTTAATGACAATTCTGTTTTGATATGGCAGTAATTGCCCAAGGGATTAATTTAACAATAATCTGTTAGCTCCTTTTGAAAACTAAGCATGGTCCCTGGAAATATACTCATTAATCCTAAACTACTTTCCTTCCCAGTTACATTTGACAGTGAAGAGAGTGCAATAAAATGATGCTGTTTAGCTGCA